ATGTTATATAAAAAATTAAAACAAAATTATTAGAAAATGTTTAATGATAATTAGTCATAAACAAATAAGACATACAAAACAGTTAGGGGAAGTCAACAGGGAGGTCGCCCTAGAGACTTTCTCTCCCAGGCACGACGACCGAGGTAGCCGCCGACGAAGCCTTTACACCAGATCGTACCTTCTCCTCCGTCGTCAACCTTCTTCCTCTCGTTTCCATGGAGTCTTTTAAAACTGTTCCAGTCCCGTCTCCAGAGTCTCCAGATCCGGGCATTGACGAAGCTCCGGCGTTTGACCCTCAAAACCCTCGAATTCCGTCGGATGCTCCGTCTACTGGTTCTCTTGTCTCGCGTCCTTTGCCGCCAACATCTGGTCTCAGAGATTCCGTAATCGCAGATCCAGACCTAAGTCTGGTGTTTGCAGAACGCGTGTCTCTTGTTTATGCTCTCGACTCTCCTTTCCCGTGTGGTACATCCTTGTAGTGTGTTCAGCGGAACAAGATCGGCTATTTTGTGAACTTCTCGATCAGACTCTCCAAAAATCTGGATCTCCAGATCTCATTCTCTGTCGTCTCCTTACTGCAGTACGCAGATTCCTCTATGTGCCAGCTGCTGACTTCAAGCGTATCTCGGTCAGGTATGTGTAATCCTCTTGAGGCTTTTATGAATTGGCTAGTGGAAATTAGTCCTATATAGTGGTGAATTCTCGATCTTTAAGGGTCTTTACACGAAAACCAGGCTGTTATTTATGTCTGTCCTCGCTTGAATCTTGTTCTCCTAGGGAGAAAAGTTTTGGAGATTCTATTAACTTCATCCATCCTTAGATATTGGCAAATATTTCTCACCGTCAAATTCTCCTCGCGACCTGACCCATATCTAAGAGTTTCAAATGCTTTTGAGCAAATTGACTTCTCTTTTTTTAGAAGAACAAAGTTTTATGGATACTCAAACCTTGCAATTTCCTCCCAAAGGGAGAGATCTCATCCATATTCTTTCCTATTCGGGAAGAGAATCGCTCCACCTTTTCTTCTCTCATGGAGAGTAAGATCCTTCTCGGAACCAAAACCGAGTTATTCTCTATCCGTCTTGTATTCTTGTGTAGCGATCTATATGGAGCTAGAAGATGCAACCGACTTCGTCTTGACGAATTTCAGAGGAATGGATAATCTTTTAAAGTCGCGAATCAAAGCGACTAAACTTATGTCTTCCGGCTTAGTCGTGAATTCTATACCGATGCATCAAGATTGTTTCTTTGATTCGCATTCGTATAACTATGTTGTTTTTTTATGCTTTAGTTTCTAATATTTTGATGTATCATACTATGATTCCGTGTAACCTTAAAATTTAAGGAATGAAAAAGACGGTGCACAAAAAAAAAACAGTTAGGGTACTCTAAAATCTTCAGGGTTTTATTTGACTAACCTATTGATATTAGGGTATTTTTTAGGTATTTTTATGTTAGGGCTTTTATACCGGGGCTTTTTAATGGTTAGGGTAGGATAGAATAATTTTACCCACCACAACATCCCTAATCAGAACGAACATTTAGAAAACTTTTTAGCACCTACTTTTGACGTTTAGCAAAGTTAATTATAACGTTTCAGATATTTATAACGTTGTAATACAAATCGTTACAAACCGACTTCATTTATTAATAAAGATATATTTCTCTTCGCTATTCGTAGAGTTATCTACTTGCGAATCCAGTGAAAATTTGCCTAACACTTTTTGTTCAAAAGAAAACTTCCATAGTCGTAGTTGTGTTAGAAAGTTATTTATCACAAAATCTAAAAATTAAAGGTCAATATAATATATAGTTTTACTGTTACGTGTTTTCTCTTATTGTTATAACTTTTTTAAAGGTTATATCTAGTAAAGCTAATAAATCAGTTAAAATTGCCAATACAGATAACAATAATATTAATGGTAGAAAATTTAATAAAACAGTTTAATATTAAGTAAGTTTAAGTGAAACTCAATACATCGTCAAAGTTATTTTTTCTTTCCAACTTGATTTCTTCTTCAAAAATACTACCAACAAACTAGTCAATATAAAAATTTATTACTAGTAATTTTATACTAGAGAAGTTTTATTATATTGTAGAAAATTAAATTGTTTTTATTTAATTTTCTACAATAAATATTACTGTTATTTAGTTTGGCAATTTTGACTGATTTATTAGATATGAATATTACTATAGTAGATAATTAAAAAGGTACTATATATATATTAGCAATTTGTTGGCTGATAATTTGCATTATTGGTGGAAATTTACTAGAATGACCTTGTCAAGCAAAGATTTGGACTAGAATGACTTCTATCTTTGAATATTATTAGAATGACCTTGAAAAATATTTAATTCCTATGTTAACCTTATTTCATTTGAAGACAAAAAACGTATTTACGAAACTGCCATTAATGAA